GCCTGTTTTCTCCGGAGCTCGGCGAACTTCTTCTCGTAGCGCTGCTTGATCATCTTCTTCGCGTACTTCTTCGCGAGATCCTGCTGCCTCGCGGTGGACGTCGTCGCGGGCTCCGGCTCCGCGGCGGGCGCGGGACGGTCCCGCGTCGTCGTCGTCGCGGGCTCCGGCTCCGCGGCGGGCGCGGGGCGGTCCCGCGTCGTCGTCGTCGCGGGCTCCGGCTCCGCGGCGGGCGCGGGGCGGTCCCGCGGCGTTTTCGTCGTCGAAGGCGACCAGGCCGCGGTCGGCGCGGGAAGGTCCCGAGGCGTCGTCGCGGGCTCGAAACGTAGCACGGGCGTCTCCTCGTAGAGCGGCGCGACCTTGACTGATTTGCTCGGGCTCGGCGGCGCCTCGTCGTCGGCCTCCGGTTCGACCTCGACCCAAAACGGATGTCGACGCGGGACGTCGTGCACGTGGCAGAACGCTCGCACCGCGTACCGGAAGGCGAGGCGGACGAGGAACGGCGACGCGAGGAGGAGCAGCATGAAGAGGACGAAGCTCGGCCAGTCGGGTTGAGAGCGCTTCGTCGCCGAGGCGCCGCAGGCGTCGCACTCCGCGGGCAGCGATGCGTTCGGCCAGCTAGCGTTGATGCATGCGGCGCTGTCGCAGGAGACGAGGGCAGTGGCGTTGAGAACCGCAGACTGCGCAGGGGCAGCGAGGCAGAGCACGGCCGCCAGCAGCAGCGTGGGACTGATGCCCAGCACCATTGGGCAGCGCTAGAGTTAGGTCCTTCCCAGAAGTCGTTGAAGGAGGCTTGAAGGGCAAGCCCAAACGTTGCCCCTTTCGAGCGTACATCCAGATCTTAAGACGCTTGGCGCCCAAGTTTCGGCGGGCAGGGGGTGGCGCGCGCGTCGAATTCGCGTCCTCTAGTAGTCGGCGTCCCAGCCGTTGTGGGGAGGGCCACGGTTACAGCCGCCGCCGTGATGCGGAGGGTAGCCTTGATAGCCTCCGCCCTCGCCCCAGCCGCCGCCGTGCTGGGGCGGAGGGCCTTCGTGCCAGCCGCCGTTGCCCCAGCCACCGCCGTGATGGGGCAAAGCGCCCTCGTGCCAGCCGCCGCCGCCCTCGCCCCAGCCGCCGCCGTAGTGAGGAGGCGGAGGGCCCTCGCGCCAGCCCGCGCCGCCCTTGCCCCAGCCGCCGTGAGGCGGTGCGCCTTCCTGCATGCCGCCCTTGCCGCCCCAGTGAGGAGGAGGAGGAGGCCCGTGCGCGCCCGCGCCCTTGCCGAAGCCGCCGCCGCGGCCGGAGCCGCCGCGGCCGCGGCCGAAGCCCTTGCCGCCCTTGTCGCCGCCGCCGAGGCCCATGCGGTGGAGCGCGTGCGGGGGGAAGTTGCTCGCCTCGGGGAGCGAGCGATAGCCGCCGAGCAGGTACGGATACGCGGGCGCGACGTCCTCGCCGACGAGCTCGACGGTCGCGAAGTAGCGGTAGGCGCCGTCGCTTCCGACGGCGCCGTTGCACTCGTCCAGATCGCCGCTTCCGGCGACGAAGGTCGGGTTGCCGGCCGGGTCCTTCGGCCCCGTGTAGGAGCTCCGCGCGAGCCGGACGTCGCCGCCGAAACTTCCGATCGGACCCATGATCGCGTGCCCGTCGAAGCTCGCGCCCAGCGGCGGCGACGGCTCGCGCCGTTCGAGCTGCTCCGCGAGGACCTTGGCCAGCGGCGCCGCCGTGAAGTCCGTCTCCCGCGTCGCCGCGATGAGCGCCGCGGGCGCGTTCGCGCCGAGCGCCGACGCGCCGACGACGCAGCGAGGGTACTGGTGGTAGTCTGCGACGGGGGGGAATGGCGTTCGCAAACGGGACGCTCGCGAGAGACGCGGGAAACATGCGGTAGCGTCCGAGGCCGTCGGGGTGCCCGCAGCACGCGTCGAAGGACTCGTCTTCGACGGCGTCGCCGCCCTCGGGGCTCCCGTACTGGTTGTAGAGCGGCACGCCGTTGACGGCGACGCCGATCGCGCCCATGGGCGTCGCCAGCGGCGCCGCGAGCGGCGGCCCCGGGGTCAGCGGGATGGAAAAGGCGTAGTCCTGCGCGACGATGGCGTTCGGGTTCCGGTCGTAGCGCCCGTTGCGCGTCGCGCCCTGCCAGGCGCCCTCGACGACGGCGCCGCCCTGGATCTTCCGCGGCTGGTACTCGGGCACGCCGTTGGACTTGACGAGGAGCCGGTCGGCGGCGACGCGGACCTCGAGCGCGTTGCGGAGCGTCGCCGGCGCGCCGTCCCTCGCGAAGCCGCGGACGGCCTCGACGGTCCGCGCGCGCGAGAACGCGGCGCCCCACCAGGCGCCGCCGTCGGCCGCGCCGTCGACGGCGCGCGAGGCGGCCCACGCGGCCGCGAAGGCCCGCGTGGCCTCGGGGTCCGCGCCGCCGCCCTTGCCGCCCTTGCCCATCATGCCCATCATGCCCTTGCTTTTGCCGCCCTTCGCGCCCTTGGCGCCCGCGCCGCGGCCGCGGCCGAAGCCGCCCCCGCGGCCGTACGCCGGCGGCGGCGGTCCCGCCGGCTCGGGCACGGCCGCGCGAACGGCGTACGGCCGCGGCGGCGGCCCCGCCGGCTCGGGCGCGGCCGCCGCCGCCGCCGGCTCTGTCGCGGCCGCGCGCTCGCACCGGCACGGCTCGGGCGCGGCGTCGAGCGCGACGATCTTGACGGGCTGGTCGACGAGCGCCGCCAGCGCCGCGTCGAAGTCGGTCTTCAGCGGGCGGAGCTCCGCCTTGTCGTAGTAGTAGAGGTCGCCGCGCGCCGCGTCGTCGCCGTAGTAGTCGCGGACCTTGCCGACGACCGCGGCGACGGTGACCTCCTCCAGGGCCGCGAGGCGCGCCGCGTCGCGGTGGAAGAGCTTGGCCACGAGCTGCATCTGCGTCATGTTCTTTCGCTCACGTTCGCTAGGTCTAGCCGGTCGATGAGGATACCTGCGGGCCGCGGGGCAGCGTGCGCGGCGCGGACGCGGACGGATGCGGACGCACCTGTGTGCTTTGGCTGCCCGGAGAGCGGTGCGAGGCGGCCGCTTTGCTCGTTCGAGCTCGTTCGCAGGATTTCAACTTCAATAAAATTGATTTTATTTTTGATTGGGGAAGCCGATGGACTAGCGCAGCCTTTGGCGGCTCCGCCGGCGCCGCGGGGACGCCTTGAATGGCCTGGATGAAGTCCACGCTCCTGCTAGCGGCCGTGCTCTGCGGGCCGGGCGCCGCGGACGCGCGCCGGCTCCAGACGACCTTCGCCTCCAAGAGCGACCTCGAGACCGCGGTCGACGCGTGGGTCGCGGACGCGGACGCGGCGACGACGACGTACGGGCACATCTCGACGTGGGACGTCTCCGCCGTGACGGACATGTCGGAGCTGTTTTGTGGTGATTCGGACTGCGCGCATTACAACGAGAACGCGCAGTCGTTCAACGACGACATCGGCGCCTGGGACACGTCGTCCGTGACGGACATGCACCGCATGTTCTACTATGCTTCCGCCTTCGACCAGGACATCGGCGACTGGGACACGTCGGCCGTGACGAGCATGAGCCGGACGTTCTGCGGCTCTGCTGCCTTCAACCAGGACATCGGCGGCTGGACCACGTCGAAGGTGGCGACCATGCGCTCCATGTTCTTTGAGGCCACTGCCTTCAACCAGGACATCGGCGCCTGGGACACGTCGGCCGTGACGAGCATGCGCACCATGTTCTACGATGCCGCTGCCTTCGACCAGGACATCGGCGCCTGGGACACGGCGTCCGTGACGAACATGTACTACATGTTCCGCGGAGCTTCCGCCTTCAACCAGGACATCGGCGCCTGGGACACGTCGGCCGTGACGGACATGAGCTTCATGTTCGCCTTAGCTTCCGCCTTCAACCAGGACATCGGCGCCTGGGACACGTCGTCCGTGACGGACATGAGCTACATGTTCTGGAGTGCTTCCGGCTTCAACCAGCACCTCGGCTGGTGCGTCTCGAGCATGGTCTCGCATTATAATTTCGACGACCTCTCGGGCTGCACGGTCACCGACTGCGGCGTCACCTTCACGTTGGAGTACTGCTCAGACCCCACGCGAAATCCCACGCCGAAACCCACCAAGAGCGAACTCAGGACCGCGGTCGAGGCGTGGCTCGCGGACGCGGATG